AGGAGCAGCATTGGGGTTAGCATTCTCATGAACATGTGGGTGGAGATGTGAGTCTCTCAGGTGGAGGTGCAGTCTCCTATGTGGAGAGGTTTGGAAGGAGCAGCATTGGGGTTAGCATTCTCATGAACATGCTGGGTGAAGATGTGAGTCTCCCAGGTGGAGGCCTTGAGTAGAACAGCGGTTCTGTACTCAGAAGTGAAGTCTGGGGATAAGTAAAGTAGGGGGATGGATGATGGTGTGAATGGAGGAAGGCCCACGGAGGTCTCCAAGGAACCTTGTATTTAGGGATGGACAGGAGACAAAAAAAGGGGAGAAGAAAGCCAGGCAAGAGGAGCTGCAGGCCCGTCATCAGAGTGGTGAGCAGCTGGCTCAGGTGTAGGTGGTGGGCACAGGTGTAGACAGTGGGCACAGGTGTAGACGGTGGGGTCAGGTGTAGATGTGGGCACAGGTGTAGGTGGTGGGCAGAGGTGTAGATGGTGGGCACAGGTGTAGATGGTGGGCACAGGTGTAGATGGTGGGCACAGGGGTAGATGGTGGGCACAGGTGTAGATGGTGGGCTCAGGTGTAGATGGTGGGCACAGGTGTAGATGGTGGGCACAGGTGTAGATGGTGGGCTCAGGTGTAGATGTGGGCACAGGTGTAGATGGAGGGCACAGGTGTAGATGATGAGCTCATGTGTCGGTGGTGGGCACAGGTGTAGATGGTGGGCACAGGTGTAGATGGTGGGCACAGGTGTAGTTGGTGGGCATAGGTGTAGATGGTGAGCTCAGATAGAGACTGAGTCCTTGGCTGAGAAAAGTTTTAGAGAGCTGGAGCCATGGCTAAGTAGACTGAAGGTATCACCAGGAGACTCCAAGCTGTGGAGCCTTCCCTGACTTCTGGAAACACAACTCCTCCAGCACTTTCCCAGGGGCGTCCATGTCGTATCCCAGACAGTCTCTTCTTTAGCGGCTTTTGCAAAAGGAAAGGCTGGCATATACCAGTACCCAGGAGCTTCTGTTGCCCTTGAAGGAGACACAGGAAATGGGTCCCTTTACCCAAGGACACCAGCACTCACCCCATCCTACACATGCCCCTACCACATAGGCATGCTGCAAGAGCTCTGTGTGGAAGAACTGAGGGAGAATGGAATGGAATTTCTCTCTGGCCATGGCAGCCCAGGTAGCCCCTCTCTCTGAGAGGCTAACTCTGAGCTCTGGTTACTTTATGAGCTGGTTGGTTGCATCCTAGCCCAGAAAACAGAATAGATTCAGCAGCGGCATCAATGCTGCCCCCAAGAGGGAAATCCAGGGATGGGTGGTTCCTTTGCTGGAACCAGGGTTCTGCCAGGTCCCACATCCCAGGGCTCAGGACTCTGAGGGCCTGCCTGCTCCATGCTGCCACTCCATGTAGGGTTCTCCGTACTCTTCTTGTGACATGCTTCAGGGTAGACTCACAGCGTGCACTCGGGAATGTGAGGGCTTCCAGTCTTCTCAGGCTCATTGACAATCAAGCAGCAGAACCCTGGGCCAGGGAGGCCATCCTGTCTGCCAGCGGTGCTGCCTGCCAACTCAAGACCACCCTAATGGGGCTGACACGGGACTGAGGAGCTGGCAGTCTGCCTGGAAGTGCTTAGGTGGTCCTCCAAGAGTGGCCTTGGGAACTGGCTGGCTTCACACTGGATGCACTCCAACAGTAGACTGGCCAAAGGACCGCTCTTCAGGGACCTTTCGTCTCCCAAATGGTCACAGGCCCAGATCGCAGGCATGGTAGAGCCTAGCTCCACTAGTGCTGTAGCCTCAAGGTTGAGTGGACCCCCATGTGCATATGATGTGAGCTCAGACACAGACTCTTCACCCCTCCATAGGGCTTTGCAAGACTCCCCCCACCCCTGTCAGCCTGTGCTTCCTGCTTCGTCCTACACCCTCCCCTCAGAGGGGTGGCGTTGGCTCTGGAATTAAAAATCAAAATCTGTGCACACCTCATGGAGGACAAGGACAGGGCTACAGGAGGACCCACCCACCACTGAGCCCCACTCCTCAGGAGGCTCTGGAGAGGTGCTAGCCGTCAGACTCTTGCTTTGGCAGAAGGAAGCCTGACCAATTGCTCTTACACACTGACCCAAGAGCACCAGTGGGACAAGAGCAGGCCAAGCAGAGGGACTTTCTCCAGGCCACACTCACCACCCGCATCAGCATCAGCCCTGAGTGCTGTGCCTGGGACCCAGAGCTGCGCCCCTGCTGGAAGCTAGCTGGACACTGGTGAGCACAAGGTCACCTTCCTTAGAGGCAGGGGGAGGTAGGACATTCCAAATGGAACAAAGGTGCCTCGTGTGGCCAGCCTGGATGTCCCTGGACTGCAGTGGGCGGCGGGGGGGGGGGGTGGGTGGGTGAGGGGGAGTTGGCTGGATGTGTGGTCTACCTGCAGAGGAAGGTAGAGAGGGCCACCCTTCACCTTTTGGCTAGGACAGTGTAGGTTGAGTTAGCACCTGGTAGGGATCCCCACCACACCATACCCCCAAAAGAGAGATACTTTGGACCGCTAGGTGCTCTGAGCTCAGGACTTTGAAAGGACATGGCTAGAGGAAGGGCCTCAGTTGATTGGAATCACACTGTTAAGCCAGCACAGGACAATACTAGCACCTACCAAGTGCCATCTCAGGCTGGGGGCGGGTAGATGTGAGAGCAAAGGGGTAGAAGAAGAGATGTTGAAGGGAGGTGTCAGAAAAGTCAGGGAGCATCTGTAGATTGCCCCTAGAATCATGCCACCACTTTGTAGCTGTGGGATAATACCCCCAGCTTGATAGGATCTTGTTTGCTCGCTCAGTACCTCAGTTTCCACATCTGTGTTTGAAGATGTGCACAGTGATGCGGAGTACCTATCAGGGCTCTACCTGAGAAACCAAAGCCCCTGTGTGCAATGTCAGAGTTGACCTGAGCTAGTCTCATTTGTTGGATGGACCAGAAGACTGAAACCAAGGCAAGAGCTGACGTCTTCTTTCAGGACAGCATGTGGTTTGCTTTTAGGGCGTTTAAAATGGTTGAATGAAGCTTTCCCAGGTGATCAAGGTTCAGTTGACTGTGGTGCTGGTCATACATTACATATACATATACATCATATACATATACATATACATATACATATACATATGCATACATACACACATTCACAGCTAGCATGTTTAAGACCCTGGGTTAACATCCCTAGTAACATCCACCATTACCCACCCATACTCATAAACATACCCTCATGGCACCACCTGGATTAGTGTTTGGTTGAATCACCCTGTCCTCCCTGTTCTGAAGGCTGGTCAGGGTGAGCTGAGCTCTCCAGGGCTGTGGTGTGATGTCCTCTAAGACAGTCTCACTTATATAGAAGGTTCTGTGGAGCTACTGATTGATCCATCAGCATGTGTGATTGTGGAGAGATGGAGTGTTGCAGACTAAAGCCAACATTCCCTTCTGTTCCCTTAGCTATCTTTTTATCATCCATGGCTGCATCTGACTAACACTTGGGCTGTCAGTAAAGCATCTGGAATGCGTTGAGACCACGGGTTTCTACCAACACGGAAGCCGAGGACACATCAGAGAGCGTCCGAGCTGCAGTAGAGTTTCCACTGCTTTACTGCAGCCTGACTGCTGGAAACATTTTCCTGTGTTCCCATTGTAGTGAGGAGGCTCTTCTGTCAATACAGAGGTGCCCATTCAGGCCAGACCTGTCTGCAGGAGGGGGCTGTGTGCACACTTCAGAGGAGGCTGCAGGATTTTCCCTTCTGGGTAGGACTTGCCTGGGCTTTTCCCTGTGGAAGCCAGTGTTGGGGAAATAATTTGGAATCTGTTTTCAGACCAGGATCTGGACATGTTCATGCCCTGCTTTGGCCTCTTTTCTGAAGGATTACCATTTCTGTGTGAGATGCATATACATTTTATACTTTAAATACACAATGGCTTTCCTGGGGTCCACGGACTTGCTGAAAAGATTAATCAAGAGCTGGGGGAGGGAGCTTCAATTAAGTGCAGGATAACAGACTCATTCAGAGCTGTCTTGAAGCTGATTTCTGAATGAGGTACTCCCATACCTTATTCAATTACTCAGTGATAGATGGGACTCTCAACCCAGGGCATGCGGACAGTGTGTGACCTGGAGGAGGAGAGGCAGTCTCTTAACTCTAGAACTAGCTTGGAAAAATTGTGTACTCCATCATATAGTGAAATGGTCCATGGCTTTCCATCAGCCAGTCAAATCATTAAGAATTTCTGGTTTGTAGATGCTGTTCAATTACAGTTTGTGTGCATGCATGCATGTGTGTACATGTGTATGTGTGTGCACATGTATGCATGCATGTGTATATGTGTGTTGAGGAGACGAGGACCTCAAGTGTCCCACTCTGTTTTCCACTAGGCTGACTGTCAAGCAAGCCCCAGCAATCCTCTTGTCTCTGGGACCCCCGACCATGTCCCCCAACTCTGACGTTCTAGGCATCTAAGGATGCCAGTCATTTATGTGGGTTCTGGGAACCCAAATCCAGGCCCTCATGCTTATACAGCAAGTGCTCTTCCCCACTAACCCATCTCCCCAAACTGTCCCAGTTACCAAGGGAATTTCCTTGGTACTTCTGGCCACCGCCCTCGCTCTTCCCAACAACACAGCCTCAGGGTCTTCCATGTCTTCCAGGTGAAAGCAGCAGCTAGATAACCTTCAGTTAGTTATTGCAGGGCTGTGTGCCCTTCCACACAGCTGAGAGTCTTGCCGGGTGGGTCCTGCTGCAGGCAGCGTGTGGTGTTTGTAAAGCCTCCCTCCTTCACTCTCTTGAACAACTTTGCAAGCGTGTTCTAAACAGGTTTTGGCTCCTCTGGCTGCTGCTTTCACCTGGAAGACATGAAAGACCCTGAGGCTGTGTTGTTGGGAGGAGCGAGGGCGGTGGCCAGAAGTACCAAGGAAATTCCCTTGGTAACTGGGACAGCCTCCTGGATCACGCCTCTTGAGTGCTATGCCTTTAAGATCCTCTGGGGGCGGGTTGTCAGCCACCCGCCCTCATTCGCTGACTGCCCAAGCGCGGGTGGCTGGAACACTGAATTTGGGGAAGAACCTGCAGGGTGATCGAGTCGCCTGCGCTTGTGGACACCGGCCATGCCCGACACACACTGAGCGGAAGTTGCCCGGGCGCAAGTCGCATTGGCCATGAGCAACTTCCAGCTGGAAGACTTCGCAGCGGGCTGGATTGGAGGTGAGTGTGCTTGCAGGACACCCCCCACCTCCACCCCCTGCACTACAGGGCAAGCTGCGCGGCGGCCCTGCGCCAGCTGTTTGCACCTGGTGTTCTCAGTGCGCTTTGCATTGCCTGGTTTCATCACGGAGCTTGGCGTGAGTGACGCCTGCAGCACCCCGCGTCCCTAACCCAGTCCGCTTGGCTGGTCCTGATGTCCCTCCTAACTTCTGAAGGCAAGCTCTTCAGATTCACAGTGATTTCCTCGAGCTTCTGATTTGCCTCAATGTCAGGTCCCAAGGAACTTGGATCCCATAATGATTAAACCGCTGGTTGGGGCAGACAACCAATGGAGCCACCCCAGTGTGTGCACACCCTTCAGTGACCCAGAGCGCACCTGGGTTTGGGAACATTTCTCCAAGAAACTTGTGCTTAGGTTGGCGCTTGGCTTGACTCCTGAATCCCGGTCTCAGGGTGGCCAAGAACCTGGACTTTAAGATCAGGTTGTTCTCAAGGGCGTTGCCCCTGGAGGGAGCGGAGCCGGTGGGGCAGGGAGTGGAGTATTACCGGTGCTTTTGCCTGAGACAGCTGAGAGGAATCCCTCTGATCCGCCGCTGTCCCCTATCAGCTCTCACCTTCTTCAATGTCCTCCTCGACAGCTCTTCTGGACTCCTTGGTCCCTGTGCTTAGGGGTCACTACATGCACCATCATTTTACCGTAGCAAAGCAAAACGGCGGTCTTAAAGCCCAAGCCCACCCACTGCTGCTAGCTGTGTGCTGAGGTCCCTGTCAAGTGACTCTAGTTGTCTTCCTTAATGACACTGTGCAACAAAATCTCACCACAGTGTCCCCCACGTTTTTCTGAAGCCCTATAGACTTTCCAAGCTCTAGAAACTACTGCCCTAGTACCTTGATTTTTATTTTGCATCCCTGCTTTCAGGTATGTGGGCTGAGTTAGCTGCTGCTCCAGACCTGAGGATGGCTGCCCCACCCTGGGGGAGACAGTGGCACCTGGGCTGAGCTGGACCAGCAGATCCAGGCTTTTTTTGGCTGCTGTTCAACTCCCTGCTGCCCAGTTCAGGGGAGAGTGGAGGTTGAAGAAGACAGGAAGTTCTAGACCAAGCAACAAGCGTCCCTGTTGCCTGGCTTGTAAGACTCCTCTGCTGGGGGAGTGTTGCCTTTTTCACCAGTGGGGTGGAGGAATTTGTCCTGGAAAAACAGCCCTGTGTGAATGTCAGTTGCTAGGGACCGCAAAGGCTTCTTCATCTAGGTGACTTTGTGACTTTGTGTAGCCAGATGTCCTGTTCTCTCTCTCTCTTCCCCCTCCTTCCCTCCTTCCCTCCCTCCCTTCCTTTCCTCCCTGCCTCCTCCTTATCCATTCAATTGTCAAGCCTAACCTCCCCCCCTCCCCCAGCCCTGGAACCTAATCTGTTTTCTGGGTTCTTTTTGTCTTTGCCTATTCTCCATAATTCATTTAAATAAACTTACACAGCATGTTTGCCTTTGTGTCTGGCTTCTCTTGCCTAGCACACTATGTTTTTTAAGGTTTCACTCACATTGCAGCAGGGTTCAGTACTCCATTCCTACCTGTTTTGTGACTTTACCTGGGTAGATATGAATTGTTCATACACACACACACACACACACACACACACACACACACACACACACACCCAGAGCATCAAGGTCTAACTTAACCGGTCAGGAAGTTTACTAGAGTTCCTTTCAGGAGTACACACAAGGGGTTAGTTAAAGGAGCATGGGAGACTCACTGAAGAACCCACCCCAGCATGGCTGACAGCTCCTAAAAGCTGCTGTACACCTGGTCTCAGTTTAACTGGACAGAGAGAGTCTCCTCTCTCCAGCAGCCCTTACTGCCTGTATAACTTTGGGAAGAGGACCCTGTAAATCTTACAAGTTTCAGGAAGTTCTGAGACTTGTGAGTTTTACTTTCTGAGTCTTAAGGATCCTTCTTCCAGGATGGGATGTTTCCATTCGGAGGAAATGGCTACACAATACTACTGAAAGCTAAGTAGCTATCCATTGTTCTGTACCACATTTATTCATTATATGCCACTTGATGGCCATTGGTTGTGTTCCCACTCTTTGTCCCCTGTGATGAATGCTGTGGTGACCATGGTATGCTTGTTCTTATTTGAGTTCTTGCTTTGAATTCTTAGGTATAGATCCAGGGTCAGAGTGCTGAGTCGTGTAGTAATTCTGTGTTTAACTTTTTTGAGGAATAACCCGTTTTCTGCAGCAATGGCACTGTTTCGCATTGCCATCTACAATGTACAAGAGTTCTCAGGGCTGGAGAGAGAGCTCACAAGAGTCTGCACTGTTTTTCCAGCGCAGTTCCAAGCATCCGTATACTCAGAACCATCCATCTATATGTGCGATTTCAGGGAATCCGACATCCTCTTCTAGCCTTTACGGGCACCATATGCATGTAGTGCACATACATACACAAGTCCCAATTTCTTACCCAGGCCATGATGGGGCACGCCCTAAATCCTAGCCCTTGGGAGACAGAGACAGAGGCAGGTGGATCTCTGTGGGTTCGAGGCCAGCCTGGTCTACAGAGTGAGTTCCAGGACAGCCAGGACAAAAGTCCAACTTCTTTGTATCTTTGTCAACACTTTTTATCTGTTTTTCTTTTAAAAAATTGCAGCCATCCTAGTGGATGTGAAGTTTTATCATTATTTTGATTGCCATTCCCTAGTGACCAATGATGTTGAGTATATATGTTCATGTACTGTTGGCCATTGGCATGTCTTCCTCAGAGATGTCAATTATGGCCACTTAAACAATGTTTTAAGAGTTCTCTGTGTATTCTGGAATTGAGACCCTAACAGATAGTTGATTTGGAAGCAATGTCTCCATTTTTCAGCTGTCTGTCTTCACTTTCACGAGAGTACCTATTGTGATGTCTAGTTCACCTACTGGTCATCTTCCTTTGCTGTTTGTGCCTTCTTTATTGTAACTACAAATGTTACAAAACCCGGGTTGTAAAATATTTTCCACATATTTGTATCTTTTAGAGTTTTAACCCCTTGGTCTGTTTTGGATAACTTTTTGTATGTGGTGTGAGGCAGGATCTAAATCCATTCTTCAGCACGTGGATATCCAGTTGTCCCTGAGCCGTAATTCTCATTTTGGGGTACTTTAAAAAATGAGGCCCAGGTTTGAGTCTACTCTCCATCTTCCTCAGTAACTGGGCCAGCCCTATGCACTGGAAGAGCCCCTGGCGACTCATGATTGCCGTGCCTCGGTCTCTAACCTCATCCTGCCTCTAGGGGATGGCAGGAACAACCCAGGAGTCCAGAGTTTGGGTGACCAGTGTTGTTCTTTGACCTACAGGTGCAGCCAGTGTCATTGTTGGCTACCCTCTGGACATAGTCAAGGTACAGTCGCTGTGTTTTCATGACCTCTTCGGAAGGTACCTGGAGTGGGTCTGCCCCTGGGACCATGCCTCCCTCTGATTCCCAGGGACTCTGCAGCCAAGGGCAGGTCTTCTGTCCTAGGGGGATGTGATGCCAGGAGGCTTGTTTTATTTCCATCACAGTCTCCTGTCTGCCTGCAGGATCTTCTGTGTTGGTGAGGAAGGAGCTAGGACTGATGACTTTCCTCCTCCAGGTACCTAGGGACAAATGATTGTCCTCCAAGTCGCTGGGGACTGATGATTGTCCTCCTCCAAATACCTGGGGACAGATGATTGTCCTTCTCCAATTCCCTGGAGACAGATGACTGTCCTCCTGCAAGTCCTTGGGAATATATGACTGTCCTCCTCCAAGTCCTGGGGAGTTGAACAATCAGAAAAGGTTTCAGATGTGAGATGGGGTCTGAGCTTGTGGGACTGGGTTTCCAGTCACTGGAAATGCATGCCAGGCACAGGGAGCAGCATGGGAAGGAGTGCTGAGGTGGGGACCATGCTTGGCAAAGGCCAGCAAGACAGTTTGCTGATGCACTGAATCTGCGTTACAACTGTGGATTCAAATGTAGGCAAGTCAGCACTCAGTCCTCAGGGTGCGTGGTTGTCAGGCTGGGGCTTTGGACCTAGGCTGGAATAATTTGAAAAGGCACATAGGGTATGAGGACCCTGCAGGCAGCAGAGCCCTCCTGACATTCACGGGTACCCCTGAAGGAGTAGGGGAGCTTGTCTCAGGTCATATCATGAAAAACAGGAATGAAGGAGTGAGATGCCACAAAAGGACGGTCTGAGTCCCAGCCATCCCACACATGACCCATGCATGGCGAGCGGGACCCAGCCATGGCCCTGAAACATGGTCACCAATAGAGCTCCAACCCTTCCTAAGACTCCCTGGTCTGTGCACAGAGGTAGCTCTGAAGCCCGACTCAAATGTCTGCACTTTCTTTTCTCTCTGTCTTCCTCTGAATGTGCCAATGGCCCCTCCTAGGTCGGGGCCAGGCTTATTCTATGCCTGCTGTATACCTCTCCAGGGTGGGGCTCAGCTATTGTTCTTTTGTCTGGAGGGCACCGACTACTCCTGCCTCCCAACTTGCTCAGACTCACCAAATTCCTTCCCAGTCTACCCCACCGCAGGTCCCTCTGATAATCAACGCCAGTGGGATCAGTTGGTAGGCACAACTCAAACTAGAAATCCTGGGCTGTGGAGCGGCACAGCGTAGGTCTAAGCCCTGATTCCGGCAGCTCCTACTTGCACAGCCTGTCATGCAGGCGTAAGGTACTCTGCCTTGCAGGGGAGGATGAGAAAGTCGTTCCCGATACCCACTAGGCATTCTCAGCTGGGAGCTGTATTTTAATATCACCAGTGTAAATTAATCTTCTCCCCAGTTACCACAACGTTTTAACCAAATTCAGAGAATGTGTTTAAAGGTTCCCAAACTAAACAGTATACATTCATGTCTCTTTGGGATGATGTGGAGGCACTTCCGAAGTCCTTCTCCCAAGTGGCTTCCCCAGTGGACTGGCCATAGACGTGCTCACCAAATGTGTCCCTCTGTGTCACAGCAAGGGAACATGCCACTCTTTCTCTAGTTGACCAGATAAAAGTGAACTCATAACAAATTATTGTTGAATAGGATGTGACACGCCGACCTAGAGAAAGACGGCTGGGGTATTAGTTTCTTGGATTGGTGTAGTAAATTACCACAAATTGGCTGCCTTAAAATCATAGAAATTGGTGCTGGAGAGATGGCTCAGTGGCTAAGTGGCTGCTCTTCCAAAGGACATGGGTTCAATCCTGAGTACCCACATGAGGTGGTCCACAACCATCCGTTCAGGGGCATCTGATGCCCTCTTCTGGCCTCCACAGTAACTGCTCACACATGGTGCGCAGATATACATGTAGGCAAAATACTCATACACATAAGGAAAAATAAATAAATCTTTTTCAAAAATCCAGAAATTGATTCTCTTGCAGTCAGGGAGCAGAAAGCAAAATCAAGCTGTTGGACCCCTCTGGAGACCTCAGGGGGCCTGTACCCCATGCCTCCGTCCTGGCTTGTACTGTTGCTACAGTCCTGACCATGGTTTCACCTCTTCAACAACTCTGCCTCTGCCTTCACATGGCCTGTGTCTTGTCAAAGATGTGTCTCTTTTCTAAGGACATGAACCACTGGATTCATGCCATTAGGGAAGTGGATCTCCTTGTTCCCTGCATAGGCAAGCCTTCCCCCACCCCAGCACACACGCTGGAAAAGCCTGGCCTTGTCCTCTTCCCGTCCTAGTCTGCATCTGGAAAAACCCTTCTTGTGAGAAGATCCAGGTGGTATCCAGTCAGGAACCCTCTTGCTGAAGCCCCCAGTGTGGCAGCAGGCTCCTGTGGCTTGCCCTGGATTTACCAGGGCACATATCCTTGTTTGCCCTGGAGCATTCTCCTCCTTCTGGCTGGCATTTTCTCTAGAGCTCTTGCCAAATGAAAAGGCTCAGGAAAGCCCCAAATAGGAGTCCAGGCAGGGCCAGTGAGATAGCTCAATCAGCAAAGCACCGGCCTTGTAAGCACAAGAACCTGGGTTCAATCTCCAGAACCCATGTGAAAATGCTGGGCACAGTGACACACACTTCATGGTGGCACACACTTGGAACCCCAGCACTGAGAAGCAGAGACAGAATCCTTGAAGCTCACTGGCTATCCAGTCTAGTCTAGTTGGTGAGGTCTAGGACAGTGAGAGACCTCATCTCAAAGGGAGTGGATGATGTCCCTGAGGACATCATCCCCCCATGTATATGTATACCCACAAACACAGAAGAGTCCAGTCTGAGCCACACCCTTGCCCTCTGTGGTGGTTTGGAGGAGAATGGCCCCAATAGGCTCATGTTTGAACACTTGGTTCTCCCTTAGAAATGTCTGAGAAGGATGAAGAAGCATGGCCCCTTTGGAGGAGGTGTGCCACTGGGGGCAAGCTTTGAGGTTTCAAAAGCCCCCAGTTCCAGTTAGAGTCTCTGCCTCATTCTGTGGGTCAGATGGGCTCTCAGCTGCTGCTCCAGCACCAGGCCTGCCTGCCTGCCACCGTGCTCTCTGCCCTGATGGAACTGTAAGCTCCCAAATTAAATGTCTGGTTTTTAAGTTGCCTTGGTCTTCACTGTTTTGTCCCAGTGATAGAAAGCTAACACACCCTCTCTTGGTGCTGAACTTTCCTCACTTTGTCAGTAATGGGCAGATAATACCTTCCTAGTGAATCTGTCATGAGGATTGTCCATGGAGGTGCTACAGACAGAGCAGGGACAATTCATTTCTGCCCGGACAACTTGCAGGGGTAGAAGAGGTAAACCAGGGGCCCAAGACTCATCCATGGAGCACCCTGCTCATCAGGCCCTGGGCGAGCAACCTCAGGGAAAAGCTCCTTCCCCTGCAGTGAGGAACTGGGATGGCTGAGATCTAGAGCTGTATGACAGTGACAATATGCTTGGACTGCTTCAGGCAATGGTGGAAACTAAAGCCAACAGTGTACTTCATCTGTAAGGTGTAGCACTTGCAGGATGCAGCTCAGTAAGGGCTTCCAGGTGCCCATATGCATGCGGTCTGCAGTTGGTGTAACCAGGGCCAGGAGCCTTGGCTCGGCTGCTGACCTCAGCACTCTACCAAGTGTTCAATGTGTCTGGTGGAGGCTCTGGGATTCAGACTTTGCTCTAGAGTTAAATCCTCTTGGGCTTGAGTGCTTTAACTGTTCAACCTTGGGGGGAACTTATTCCTCCACGGTCTCTACCACCCTGTGGCAGCGCTGGGACCAGGGAGAGATAGTTTGGGACCTCATGCCAACTTTAAGTGGGATATGGAGAGAGGCCTACATCACCTCCATAGTCCCTATCATCATCCTGGTTGGAAACACACTACCCCAAGTTTGATTTCTGTGGCTTTTAGCCCCCTACTGCTGCGAATTCCAGAGTGTCTCTCCCACTCAGCAGCCTAAGTTTCCTTCACCGCCACTTAGCCCTTCTTAACATGGGCTTTTTTTTTTTTATATAACATTCAGCTAGCAGATATACTTCATTTTGAAATTATTATTTCTTAAAGCTTTGAGGTTTACTGTTTGCTTATATTCCAATTATTTTTCCATGCTTTTTTAAAAAAGCAGTATTTTATGTATTCTTTGAGTATTTCATAGTGTATTTTGATCATATTTATTCTCTTCCCCCAACTTCTCTCAGATCCACCCCCTCCTTACTACCCACCCTACTCTGTGTTCACTCTACATTTTCAGATTTTTTTATGTGTATAAGCATTTTGTCAGCACGTGTGTCTGTGCAGTGTGTGCAGTGCCCTCAGAGGCCAGAAGAGGACAGCAGATCCCTGGGAACTGGAGTCACAGCCAGTTGTAAACTGCCATGTGGGTGCTGGGACTAAATCCAGGTCCTCTTCAAGAGCAATCAGTGCTCTTACTGATGAGACATCTCTCTGGCCCCTCCTTCTGCCTTTAATCCATCTAGCCCAGTATAAGTTGCTCAACTACTCTTGGAGATTTTTTTTTCACTATATTTTTCCAACCCTACTAAGCTATGTTATCCACGAGGTCTGAGATTTTGCTGTCTTTATTGCTGAATCTTCTGATGGTTGGAACAGATTTATAATGTTGACATTTAACAAATGGTGTCTGAGTAAGGCAATTCATCTCCCTAATTATAAACCTAACACTTATGAACGGCATGATAGCATTTCCCATCTATTATCTATGCTACGTACGTTTATTAATGTAGGTAGATGTCAGTCAAATTCTTGGTTATGCTATTGGCCATGGCTGCTCCTTAGAGAAAGGTGAGTGAGATAGGGTTGGGGGAGGCTCTGAACTCACAGTGAAACTTTTATTGGCAATGTATTCCCATATTAGTTGCACACTTAGATTATTATTATTATTATTATTATTATTATTATTATTATTATTATTAGCAGCAGCATCAGGAGGGCTCTGAGTCAATACCATAGTTGCCCTGAGCTTATTATTCACAGCCTTTTTATACCCAAAGCAAGGCGGACAAAAGACATCATGGTTCAAAGTACACAAACAAGTGTAAACACCTCCTTAGTACTCAAGACACCTGGTAACCACACCTTTGGCAAAATATCCTGTTATGTAGCCTTGTGGGGCAAAACAAGCTCAGATTCTTTTGACCTTGAGTCAAGATGGAATAAGGCAGGATTCTTATGGATTCTCTGTGGGCCCCCACACTGTACTTTGCCTGTACTTGATATTTTGGATACAGTCAAACATGCTTTCTGTGTTTTAAATATGATTTATGAAGTTTCAATTTAAAATATAATTGGTATTAAGATTTTATAAACAAGACTAGACACAAAAAAGCCATTAAATTTAAAAAGATATTTAAAAAGTTATAATGTGTATAGTTGACTGGGGCAGGGAAGGAGGACTTCTGTTGGTCTTTTCTGTGTCGAACACACAGATTGCAAGCCCAGCGCCACTTTGAGATCTTTGGCAGCAGTTAATTCTGCAGCTCACACACAATTGAGCCTGTATGATAATGAGTATTCAGAGATGGGTAATGCCTGGGGGGCACTCACCAACCTAAGACAGAGTGCCTGTGTGGCCTGGGCAGGCGTCTCCATGATGGGTAAGGTGACCTGCTGATGTCCCATGAAACCTAAGTCAGAAGCTCATTTTTTAGTAAAAGGGGGACCTGTAGGGTCCTGGCCCCCGTTTTGGGTAACTGTTGCCTTGCTTGCTGACCTTGACCTTGATATCCTCCCTATGCTAATTCCCTGCTGGGTTCCACCCTCCTGAATGCTTAAGGGAAGTTCCTTGTCTGTGTATCCTGCATAATGGGCAATAACAGCTTAGATGCAAGATTGTAAAACATTGGTAGTGAACTTCTGCCCTCCAGGGTTCTCCCATTGTGCTGTAAGCCTGTATTTAAGACCTCCTCCCTCCCTCAATAAACGGCATTCAGCATTAGAATTATTTTTAAAATGATACATGCTAGAAGATACCCTTGCTTATCATGGAAGGTTGGAGCTGCAGAAAGATGCCAGCTTGGAGCCTGTCACTGTCATGGCTTGCTTCTGAGGACCTTCACTCCTTGCTGCCCACTAGGTGCTGCAGGGGGCAGGACCACTCTGGGCCCTCACAACTCCTAAAAGAGACTTTCAGTATATGTATAAAGAAGGGACCCTCTGAGGCCAGGGCAGACACTCTTCTGAACAGTCCTGTGGGCTCTGTGCCTGTTGCCTCCTGCCCCTGGTTATCCAGACTTCCTAGAGGATGCCATATGCCTTAGCCATGTAACCTCTTAGGTCACTGCAGAGTTGTTACTGTGCTAAGGCTGTTCTCAAGGCAAGGACAAGAGGAGAGTGAGATGGGTGGCCCTGTCCTGGTAGGGAATCCGTGTACTAAGCTTATGTGTGTCTTAATCTAATGTGAACCCTACATAGTCTACAGAAGCTCAGACCCAACAGAAGAGGAACAGGAGGGAATTCCAGAGGACCAGCAAGAGCAAAGGTTGGAGGCAGGAAATGTATATGTGGTTGGCATGGAAAAGAGGATGCCATTGGAGGAAATGGTGTGGAGGGTAACAGGCAGGCCAATCCCCACCCTCAAAGTGCCTGGGCATTGGTAGCATTTGATAGAAGGCCCTGGAGAGTTGTAAACAGAGTGACATGATTGCAGTAATTTTTGAGAAACATCAGCCTGGCTGTGGTGTAGAGAAGGGCCGGAGACCTTGTCCAGGTGAGAGAGGGACATAGACTAGAAAGGTAGAAAGATGGGCAGGTGTCCCCAAAGACACCTAGAGCAGTGGAGTGATGGACGTCAGAGGTAGGACAGAGCCACGGTTTGGCTTTTTGTACTTGAGGTGAGCCTCCTAAATTTAGCAGCCATCATCGTTACACACCTAACTGATCTGGGTCATCCTCTGACTCAAAGCAGCCTTCTGCTGTGTGGAACTGGGCTGGATGGATATCAGAGCAAGTGTCCCTGAAGATCATGTGGCACCAAGCTGGCCAGGACTGAGCCTGGTCCTCCTCCCCGGCTGGGTCACTTTGGGCATCTTCATGGGCTTGTGACCTATCTCAGAGTGTGTCTCTGCCCTTGCCTCTCTCCACAGACTCGCCTGCAGGCTGGTGTTGGCTATGGGAACACATTCAACTGTATCCGCATGGTGTACAAGAGGGAGAGTGTGAGTGCCCTGGGGCGGGTGGAGGGTGTCTGCCAGGCTCTCCCACGGGCTGGGGCCCAGGCCACACGCCTACACCAGCACAACAGGCATGAGGCAGCTTGTTCCTGCTTATCACCTAGTCTCTCGTTTTGCACCACATGGCATTGCTGGGGAGAAACTGGTTGTAGCTAGAGTTGTCCTGCCTGACCCACGGTCAGGACAAAGCTCTGTTACCCGCCAGTCCCACAGCCACTCAGACCAAACCAAGTAAACACAGAGACTTATATTGCTTACAAACTGTATGGCCATGGCAGGCTTCTTGCTTACTGTTCTTACATCTTAAATTAATCCATTTTTATAAATCTATACCTTGCCACGTGGCTCATGGCTTACTGGCGTCTTCACATGCTGCTTGTCATGGCAGTGGCTGGCAGTGTCTCCTCCCACCTTCCTGTTCTCTCAGTTCTCCTCTCTGTTAGTCCCGCCTATACTTCCTGCCTGGCCACTGGCCAATCAGTGTTTTATTTATTGACCAATCAGAGCGACAGATTTGACATACAGACCATCCCACAGCAACTGATGTTGTATGGACTCTCTGGAGAAGCTCTGAGGGCTTAGAACCACAGTATGGAAAGGCCCACTGTCAGTTTCCTGAAACAATGATTGCTGGGTAAGCTGAGTCACAGCAGACTTCCCTTTATCTGGGTGCAGAACCTTCCCCATGTGACCAGGTGCTGATTTTCAAATAGGAAACAGAGTGATATTTTATAACACCAGCTCCCTTTTAAGAATTAGTGGGTTACTTTCTAAGACTATCCATTGGGAATCTAAAATAAAAAATAAATAAATTGAGGACGAAATGACCTAATTTAAAGAAACGGTCAAAGGCAGTTCGTGACAGCTCTGCACTTTCCTCTGAATCCTGGGAATACACCCAGTTGTGACTGTTGGTGCCACAGGCCCCATCCTAACCAACGCCCTATGGTTGTGTGGCCTCCTGCAAGTACCGAGCTTGTCAGCAGACAAGTTTGTCTTGACGGCCAGTGTTGCTTCCACTCACTTGATTGGCTGCTCTGAAGTCAGGGTGCACACCGCCAACCTCATACTTGGCGTTCCGAGGTGGTGGGTGTGACTCCCCATCTCCTGAGAGAGAGCCGTTGAGTCTCCTTTTTTGGCTCACATCCCCTGCAGTACTTGCCAGCCAGTGTCCCACTGCCAGGACTCTGCGGGGACTTCAGGTGGTGCCTCTGGGGCAGTATAGCTCAGCGTCCCAAGTTATGGAGGAAGAGCCTGAAACAAGACTTGCGCATGTGTGTGCACACATGTATGTGGGGTGTCCTGCCCTGTCAGGAGCACCAGTCTGTGGCATAGCTTTGCACAGTTTCAGTGTGTGAAGCGGCCTCCTAGGACATTCTCATCTGCGGCACGTGTGTACTGTTTCCGTTCTTCCAACGGCTGTGGAATTTTCCAGTTTTCCTTGGAGCAGCTGTGGTCTTATTGAGAACACTGTTATAGAGGAGACCCTGACCCCAGCAGGAAGCACTGTTTCTCAGCCTTCCCCTCCTCACTCTACCCTCTTCTCTCTATATATATGTGTGTATGTATGTGCATATGCATATATATGTGTGTGCATGCATGTTTGTATATGTGTATATTTACATGTGTCTGTGTGTGGAGAGGATCCCATTCTGAGGTGCTGTCACCTACAGGCTGTTCCTGGTACCGTTGGGAGACCCCTTTGTTAGCCCCTTACCACAGACTTAGTGAGTTGTACTATATTGCCTGTCAGTTTGTCTGTACCTGCCACCCCATCCTCATCTGTCCTACCCCCAGACCATGAGCTCAGTAGGGTGAAGACTGTTTTCTTATTGGTGTCCCCGAAAGCTTGACACACAGAAAGCAACCAAAGAGAGAGCGCATGCTTCACTTGAGAGGCAAGTGAGGAGGTGTGTTGGTGCTTGGTCATGCCCACTACTCCTTAGGGCTTCTCAGATGTTCTGCAGCATAGCCTGATTTTCTCCAGCTCCAGACACTGCCATTTGGGACACACACACACACACACACACACACACACACACACACACACCATCTTAGCATCATATATGATACCAAGGCTGCATTGTGCAGAAGGCTCCTCTTTGGGTCTAGAATGACTGCCTGGGTTGTGTGTGGCCCTCCTCTGTCTTTTCTGTGCCATCTAGACCCTCTTTGGAGCTCTTTTCTGAGACAGTGGATTATTGACTCTGGGTGTCTCCAGCATGTAATATCAAAAGCTTCCAGGAGGGAGGCCCAGAGCATCAGGGGAGTCCCACACCTAGTATGCAGACAGAGACCCTGGGGGAGTGGTTTGGCCTCACGCTTCCTCCCACTGGATCCCCTTGCCACAGGTGTTTGGCTTCTTCAAGGGCATGTCCTTCCCCCTGGCCAGCATTGCTGTCTACAACTCGGTGGTGTTCGGGGTCTTCAGTAACACCGAACGGTTCCTCAGCCGGCACCGCTATGGGGAGCCTGAGGCTGGCCCTGGCCGAAGTCTGTCTGACCTACTCCTGGCTAGCATGGTGGCTGGTGTGGTCTCTGTTGGGCTGGGCGGTCCCGTGGACCTCATCAAGATCCGACTGCAGATGCAAACACAGCCGTTTCGGGAAGGTAAGTAAGCGGCCAACGGAGGGAAATTTGGTGCTGAGGACCTGTGACCTTTTCACAGTTGGATGGATCTGGGGTACCATTGTCCATAGCCTTGTTAGTGTGCAAGGTCACCCCGACCCTGTTCACCACAAGTACCATCTTTCACTTTCTCTTCCTGAAAGTTTTCCATGCTGCTCTTAAAAGTGACTTTAGCCGAGGAGGAAGGGAAGGAGGAGGGGGCGCATGCTGCGTGTCAGCCTTGGTGGAGTTGGGTGCTGGAGGAGGGCGCACACTGCGTTTCAGCCTTGGTGGATCTGGGTGCTGGAGGAGGCATATTTCAGTGCCTCAGAGTTTTGTTCCTGTTTCTTTCACTGAATTTTTACCATTCTCCAGATGAGGTGTTGCCCTCTCCCTGCCTCAGTTTCCATTTCTGTAGAATGGAGGGGCTGGATCCCTGGTCTTTCCTGTCATATTATGTATATGATAAGCCCCTTTTTGCTGGCAGCCTTCGAAATGCTCTGCTCACTGAGGCTGGGGTTCAGCTGTGTAACATAATGGGAGACCCACAAGCTTACTCAGGAGCACCCTGGCCCAGGTCCCTAGCTCCCTGTCCAGGTAGTGTCTAGTGCAGGCCTCAAGTCCTCTGAGTGTGAGGCTGATACTCCCCACTAGGCAGAGGGGAGGGCCTGTTGCCCAGCTGCTGTGAGGATGTGTCTCTCTCCAATACATAAAGTCAGTGTCAGGAGAGAGGAGATGCAGGATCACAACAGAGCCACCAGGGAGGTATGAGGCAGGTCCATCACGTCCCATCCCAGGGGTAAAAGCAAGGGTATGTGGAATGACATTTCATGAACAGGCACCCTGCCCTGTCTGCTTCAGAAAAGCTCTCTAGTCTGAAATTACAGGGACTCTCCTCATTGGGTCAAGATGGTGGAAGATATTCAACGAAGACACACATTCCCCAGACTTATTTATTTATCTACTTATTTATTTTTGAGAGAAGATCTCACTAAGTTATCCAAGACCTGGAACTTGTAATCCTCCTGCTTCAGCTGCCTAAGCAGCTGGTATTACAGGTCTGAGACACCAGGCCCAGAAGTGGGTGGAGTTTCTTGATAGGATTTGATGACATCCTGTTTTAACTTCTCCTACCTACATCTGCCCTGTGGAGGACGCTGGGATGATGGTGGGATAAGGTCTGAGCCACGGGGATCTGAAGGCCTGGTTGGAACTGTCTAGAGAGGAGGAAGGTGGGAGTCAGCCAGGGAAATGGATGGACCCCAAAGGGCCTCATAACTGGGTGATGAGCTATGGCAGTGTAAGGTAGACATGAGTACCGTCTATGGACCTGTTGCATAATGCACTCAGGGCTCTATGCTGAGGACCCTGGAACAAGACTCCATTGGCCTCATCTCCAGGTGTATCCATCTAAGAACTAGACAGAAATTGGATGGATTGTGGGGAGAATATAAGCTCTCAGCTAGGCTAGATCTGAGAGGGCTTGGGGCAGAGTTCAGAGCAGGGTATAAGAATTGTTAACCAGAGTGAGAGCCTCCAGGAAGCACCAGGGTATGTAAAAAAAATCCACAGATGTGTCAAGGGCTAGACTTTTTCTATCTGAGGGGAAAAAAGGAAATACACGCTTTCTGATGGTAACTTTCTCTTTTACTTCATCTTGAAAAATTCTCTTTCTGAAAATCTCTCGTCTCTACACAGCTACATTCTTTATATACAGCTACATATCTCTCTTTACATACATACATCTCTCTCCTGCACAGCCATACATCTCTCTCCATAGTTACATCTGTTTTCACACAGTTACATTTCCACACATTCTCCACACAGCTACATATTTCTTTTGCACAGTTCTATCTCTTTTCTATACAGCTTCATTTTCCTCATCTCCACACAGTTACAAATCATCTCCACACAGCCTCAGCTAGACATCTCATTACATAGCTCTTTCACCATACAGCCGCATCTCTTCCTTCACATACCTCTCCCCTACATACACGTTTCTTTTCTATACCTCTCTACCCACTCAGCTACATCTCCTCACACTTCCTTCTCACTTCTCTTCTGCACGTTCAGCTCCATCCCTCTTTTCGCACGCACACACTCACACTCACACACATACACTCACTTCAACAGCTAAACTCTGGACAATACTGAGTTACATATACAGGGTCTGACCCATTCTCATAACACATGATAAGTCACACAGTTTCTCTCAGGCTAGAGACGTCACACTGATGGGCCAGTGAGTAACACTTGGCTGTGCACGTAGCCTGAGTGGTCAGGGTTTCCAGACAGAAAGTTATATTGAAACCAAGGACCTAAGCGGTAAACAATTAGTTGGCTAAACCTAGTCTTGTATCATAAACCGAGGTTAAGAGTACGTGCAGAAAGTCTATTACTGTAGGGGGTTTATGTCCTAATGCTATCAGCCTGACTTTGGTTCAATGGACACTTGGGAATTTGTCCTTGAGCAAATTGTCTCCAGGAGCAGCTTAGTCTATTTTGGATTTGCTCTGAGATCTTAGCAAAAATGTGTAATAGACTGTCTTTGTAGCTGAGTATTTTCCTATGTCCATCTGAATAATGAAAATATCCTAGTATTATTTCTATTCATCAGAATTATACAGCTTAAGCAGAAATCATCTTCCTGACCATCCACAGCTGTATGTGTGTCCAATAGATGGAATATATTCATGAGATAAACACACAAGCAGAGGAAAAACACCCAGAGCAGTTCTTAGGGAAGAAATGTAATGGCACACAAGAAAAATTACAGACAGAAGCAACCAGTCCAGAGTCTGTGGTTCTGTAAGCCTTGCTTGATGGGATTCCTCCATCAGAGGGTTACTCTTCTGGTGGGTCGACCCCTGAATTATTAATTGCCATCTGTTATATATTTCTACAGTCTCTGGTAAAGCCATTGCTACCAGCAGCTCTGAGTGGCCTAGCTTGAAGGACAGAACCATATACCAGTTAAAAATATTGGAGAGGGCCACCCAGTCCTGCTTCACCTGGAGTGTGAGAGCCTGTGATATGGCCCACCTGGGTCAGGACCCTTTGGATCTACCCATCTAGGAAGTTCAGATTTTTCTAGGATACCACTTTCTAGGTAATCCCTTTGACCAGTAGGAACCACGAGTTCCCAACCCCAGGTGAGGTATTACAGGAGGGCTGGGCTTCCCTGACCACACCTGTGTGAGCACCCACCTCTGGGCTTCCCTGACCCCACGCCTGTGTGAGCACCCAGCTCTGGCCTCATGCATCAGTTCATCTGTGGTTCTGGGGGAAACCTGCTGTCTTAAACCCCTTGAGGCAGCAACAGAAGATGAATGTGTGTCTGTCTGTCCTTCTGAGCATGCAGGACACAAGTCCTCCAGGAGCCCAGGGAGGCCTCTGTAAGTGTCTGGAGGGCTGACAAAGTTCTAGTCCTCAAAGTCTATGTCCGGGTCTTAGATGATAACAAAGACAAAGACAGCTTACCTGAGTGAGTGGAGGGAGGGTTCAGGCTGGATTGGAGGGATCACCTCATCAGTGCCCACAAGTCCACTGAGTTGGGCTTACATGGGTCACAGCCCTGGGGGCCACATAGCACAGAGTCCTGTAGTACATTAGACTCAGTGGCAGGGTTCCTGCTTGTCTGGGTGCCTGTAAAGGGGAAGTTGAAGCGCACAGGCCTCCCAGCCTGGGGTCTTTGCCCAGCTGGAGGTACGGCAGAGAGCCTAGCACGGGTCTCACTCTGAGCCCACGGGTGTGCTTCTGGCTTATAGAAGGAAGGTTATAGTGACTTTGTAACTCCTGGCCACCTAGGACTTTGAACAAAATCTTCACATACAAAGCTTCAGATTTTGGGGAGAGCTGGGCTAGGGGTATGTCTCCATTATTGCTTAAGATGGGCCCAGTTCCAAGTTCCTGGACCCTGAAAGGGGCCTCTGAGTGACATGAGTCAGGCTGTTCACATGGGCATCCCCTCTTGGCCTTTCGTCATAGCTACTTGGGACAAGGCCTTGGGTAACCACAAATGTCAGAGGAACTCTGAAGAAGGGTTGTGGCATGCAGAGTGTCACCAGATAGGAAACAATCTAGAAAATGAGGAAGGACGTGGTTTTCATTAACTTGCTTCTTAGGAACTCTCTAGGCTAGAAAGAGAAATTGCAGGCAATTAAGACTGAGGAGGTAACATGGGTGAGCAGAGGTCCTAGGATGTGCACCCTCTCCCATTTGTCGAGACACGGCCTGACTTTCCTGTTTCAGTTTGCCTCTGTTTGATTGACACACGAACTCGGGACACATCTCACTGCATGCCTCCCTCTGCTGTTGAAAAACCACAACCAGGCAAATGGGGCAGCACCACTATCTGGGAGTGGCAGGAGCAGTGGGGTTGTGGTGACCTGTGTGGTGTCCTTCCAAGGGGACAGCTGTGACACTGTTTCTACATGGCTGCTAGCCTGGGGCCTGAAGTGTTTGGAGCCTCTGATTTTTTTGGGGACAAGACGGAAAGCTGGACTTTACTGTAAGATATCACAGTTGAAAAGCATCAGGTACTTCAATTACAAGTAAACTCAGCAAGCCCCCACTGTGGCCTGATGCGTACGAGGCCAGGGAAAACTGAAAACTCAGTCTCAGCTGCAGGTCAGGCCCTCATGAGTGATGGCTTTGCTGACCTGAGCATTTACAGGAAGTGTGGGCACCACTTGTGAGATCTCCCTTGGTTTGTGATTTTAATTCAAAATTGCCAGTCTACTTCCAGTGTAGTGACCACGTGATATGAGAGGTGGCCTGACATTCTGAAGCCAATTGCCAGATGACTATGTTCTCTACTTTAGGAAATGTGACAGATTTGGAGGTGGCCCAGCTCATCTTTTTGGGAGAACCGGTGACTTCCTCCTGAATGTGTATTTTCGGTGTCCCATGGCTGAAAGCTGACAGAACACTGAACATGCCCTGCTACCCTGTACAACCTACCAGAAACACACTTCTGACTCATCGAGGTGCTTTCTTTTGCT